CCCCCCCCCCCTCCACCCCATTTCGGCTGAAGAGTAAATATACCCTGTTCTCTAAATTAATCACGTGCCTAAAGGTGAGGCGGGAGGTTGTTTGAACAGTAAGTGGTGTTTCATCAGGTCCCCATTACTGTGATAGCATTATGCATAATTCACGTGGGGCTTTAAAGGACCCCTGGAGTCACAGCATGGCCTCTTGGGAGTTATGAAGGCTCGTTCCGCAGAGTCAAAAATTATACAATGTTGGTATGATGGAGATAGAGAGAGGAGAGAGAGAGACTAGGAAGCAGAAAGGAAGAGAGGGAGATGGACCGTGGCCAATGATCAGCAAGCAGAATAGCTAAAGTAGAGAGATAGAAGAGATTTCATAAAGGCTACTCATCACAGGCCGAAAATGCGACCATGTCACCGAGGACGATCGGAGAAACAAAGCCGGATATGAAGCAAGAGGTGATGAAGAGCCGCCAGGTGGTTTAGACCATCTATTCATTTTATTCATTAGTCCGGGTCATTTGATGGAAGCGCCGGCGGGGAGAACGGGTTATCGGGAAGCTTTAGATCATAGCCTGAAACACATTTTGTCCTCAATATGAAGTCGAAGTCCAAAATCCGCCAATAGCGGGAGCTTGGGAACAAAACCGAATTCGTAGGTCGCATGTTTTAAATAATTATCTACATCTCACGTTTTCCCTCCCTTGATGTTCTCGAACGGAGGTGTGTGGAGAACAGAGCGATTCGACCCCGCAGCCGATGCCCGGAGAAAAAAGCAGCCTGTGTGCAGGCAGCTGTGGACGACAGGAAGGTGGTACCCACGAGTCGGTGTTTATTATCTGGGATCTGACTCCGGAGGCGCGTCGCTGAGGTATGGGCTGCGCTCCCAGTATCCACGTCTCTCAGAGCGGGGTGATCTACTGCCGAGACTCAGACGAATCCAACTCCCCCCACCAGACCACCACCATCTCTCAGGGCAACGCAACCACGCTCCACGGGCTCTTCATCAAGACCGATGCGGCCGAGACCATCCCTTCCGTCATCACCTACCAGAGTCGGCACTCGCGCAACAACTCGTGCCGGGATCGCAAGGAGAACAGTGGAGGGCACATCCGCATCGAGGCCGAGACGCAGACCAGCCACACCAGCGTCAAGGTACAGTGGCTGTGACAGTGGAACGTGTTGAATGAACCGAACATGGGTGTGCTGGCATATGGTCACCGCATCAGCAGAGTCGTGAGTGAAAAGCATACTTGCGAGAGGGCCATTGTTGTTGTTGTTTGTTAGTTGATGAGGCCCAAACCTGTGGGTCCGGGATTAGAAATCTGGCTGCAGTTCATTCAATCCCTCCTCATTAACTCGCCCTGTGTCAAGCCATGCCTGCAGCCAGCCATGTGTGTAACAATGATGATAATTGAATGTATGACATATGACGGTGGCCTTACTAAAGGATCTTATGTAGGCAGGGTGTTATGCTGCATAATTGCATTTTAATGCACAAAATGTGTTAATCTTAAGAATGAGCTTGTTGACTGAGGACTCTGTAGCAGTGTGTAACACAATAAGAAGATAAGGGCATTTTAAGTTTCTATTGAAGAGTACCTGCAGAAGATGGACCATATTTGTGTTTAGTATTTCTTTATAACACGTGTTTGCACCACACTCCACTCCATTGTATCCACAGGAGAGTTATAATTGCTCATAAATGCGTTACTAAGCACTTATACATGATTACATATGTACTCTGCAGTGTGTTATGAAACCATGTTCTATATAAGTACTACAGAGTTTTAAAGGCAAGAGTTACCAGAAGTTTTTACTTTACAAAAAAACCCCAAACTCGGGTCTAGCTTTACCTGAAATCCCCACTTAGCGTGTTTCTCGCCATCAGCCATCTCTTGTAATCTAAATCTGTGCTATAAGAAAAGCTTGTTTGCAGGCTTTTGTTTATTATCTCTGAGTACAGCCCCAAAGCTGCAGGCAGAGGTTCCCGGAAGCAGACAAAGCCGTGAAATGAGCAACTGTACATCCAGTGGGTCAGTACTTCAGCAACAAAATGCAAAGTGTGTTTGCCTAAAGTCAGAGGATCAGCTCAGATTTGATAACTTTGGTTTATATCCTTTATATCAACCCCATTTATGACACTGTTTGCTTTAAGATGTGTAAAAACCTATTAATCTAATAAGTCATTATGAAGAGGATTATTATTTGAGTCATCGTTGAAAAAATAATTAATTGCTATTAATTTAATGTAATAATCTGTAATGCAGGATTCAAGCTTTTGGAAACAGCCAAATTTTTGTGGATAAGTATATTAAATGTATTTCAAAGTTTTCAGAGAACATGTTTTTTAAAAATAAACACTATTTTTTATACTGAATAAAATGGTAAGCGGCTCACTTAATGAACATATTGCAGATATTTAAAACGTTGATAACCACGTGAAAACTGAGACAAAACTGAGCACAGCGCTGCTCTGCTCTGCTTAGCAAACATGCTTAGTTCGTGTGCTTTTTACTTGATGAAGGATTTCTCTCATGAGGAAGCATGTGAACAGATACTTCTTCATATTTATGATCAAACCCCAGAGGATATAACTGTGTTTTGCTAAGAAGTAGTCTAGCAGATGATCGTGTCATCAGACTCTGAGAATACATTAACCCGTTCAGGCCTGGATGAGATTCAGAGACTTTTACATAATAAACTCATCTAAGGCTAGCATGGTTCCAGTTGTTTTTAAATTGTCCTTATTTCACATTTGTGGATAGTCTTTAACACTTTTCATTCATTTTTCCTGATATTTGTCTTGTCTGCTCCTAATATGGAAGAAATTTGGCACACGTGAAACGACAAGACATTGATATGACATGAGTCATTCCCACGAATGAAAACATTTAGTCACCTTAACATAGACTTCTTGCCAGGAGGTGGAATTATAGCAAACAGTTTGGTAACATTTAGGTTCAGCAGTTGACTACTTTTTATAGATTTGTGTCATGAGTTAAGTGTAGCTCAGACAGTGTGTGTGTGTCCTGGTTTGTCAGCAGTTCCTTACCGCTCTCTCTCAGTTTCCCCCTCCACGACTGAGACAGGATCAATGATGCCATTTATTATTAAAACCATCTGCCTTACCCTGCAGGATCTTGATCATCTGACACAGTGTTGATCACGCTCCTGTGTGTGTGTGTGTGTGTGTGTGTGTGTGTGTGTGTGTGTGTGTGTGTGTGTGT